TTCGTTTAAAATTCCATTGATAATTATTTGAAGCCATCTCCTCTATTAACTTATAAACTTTCTTAGGAATTTTACTTGTTAATGATCCACCTGCAGCTGCATCAATTATGATACGAGTATTTGGGAATAAACTATTGTAAAAAGTTTGTACCTGTAACCATATAGGTAGACCATGATGTGGGCACATTCTAGGTAGCTCTTTGTATCTCTCCCATGCCTCATACAATGACTTCATGTCGAACTGCATAAAAGTAGTAATATCATTATGCATCTTGGTAGTTTTAAAAGAAGGAAAGTACTTATCAAGAAATTTCCTTGACATATCTTCCCAAGTAGTAATTGAGTCCCAAGGTAAAGAGTAAAACCAATTCTTTACTTTATCCCTCACAGAGAAACAAAAAAGTCTCAATCTTTTTGCATCTTCTGAAACTCCATTATACTTGAATGTGTCACAAATTTCTAAAAATCTGGTCAGATGTTTATTTGGATTTTCATTCAACAATCCATTGAATTGGACTAATTGTTGAATCATCTGAATATAAGTTGGCTTGATTTCAAAGTTGTTAGCTTGTACTGCTGGTTTTCTTATACATGAGGCCACACCGTCCATTGAAGGTGATCCATACTCTCAAGGTTCTTGCAACAGCTTCTTCTGCCATCTTGTGAGGTTAATTGACAACTAAAGCTTCCTTCCTTTTGTTTGAAAGGTGAAAAGTTTGATCTATCTCAAGATCAAATGGTGCAAGTTCTTTGTTTTCAGAACGAATCATGCACTAGCTTGCACACTTGAAAAACAAATAAAAGAAAAAAAAATCAAATTAAAACTAGAATTAATTTGCTTTGATATTAATTAGAATCAATACAATCCTTGACAACGGCGCCAAAAACTTAAGGTTAAATGCTTAATTTGGTCCCTCAACTTTATGAAATGAACATTTTTGGTCCCTCAACAATCTTTTGCACTTTTTTGATCCCTCAACTATATGAAATGCACTCCGTTAGTCCTTCTGTTAATTTCGATTGTTAACTCGCTTATGTGGCATTTTTTATAATTTTTTTGATGACGTGGCAAAAACAAATTGAAAACGTATTGATGTGAATTTTTTTTTCATGCCAACTCACATTATTACTATTTATATTTTAAAAAAATAAAATAAAAAAAACTCACGTTCATCTTCTTCCTTTCTCTTTTTCTTTTTTTTCCTTCCTCTTCTTTCTTCCTCTCCTTCCTTGGGTCATTGACCCAGTTGTTGGGTTCGATGGAACCCAATGCTGGGTTCCACTAAACCCAGAACCCAACTCCACTTTTTTTATTGTTTGCCAAGAGATTATCCGAATTGCAGGTTGTTGCGAGAGATTTTTGGGCAATTGATTTTTTTTTTTTTGGTTATATGATTGTTTGCCAAGAGATTATTCAAATTGCAGGGATTTTTGAGCAATTGAGCTCAGTGAATCAAGCTGTGTGGAACGTATTTACGGGTTTCTGTTCTGTCGAACTTCAATCTTGAAAATGAAACGGGTTTTGTTCTGTCGAACTTAAATTGGAAAGAACACCATTTAGATAGAAGTAGCAACAGACGGGAAAGAAACAGGGGAAAGAAACAATTCTCAGTGGTGATGTGGGACCCACTTAGGTGGATTTGGTGCGTTTTCAGCCGGATAACATGTGACATGGCAAAGATTTTAGACAAATCATCACTTTTTTAAGTTTTACTCTCCACGTCATCAAAAAAAAATATAAAAAATGCCACCTAAGCAGGGTTAACGGCCCAAACTAATAGAAGGACTAACGGAGTGCATTTCGTATAGTTGAGGGATCAAAAAAGTGCAAAAAATTGTTAAGGGACCAAAAATGTGCAACTCACTAAAGTTGAAGGACCAAATTTAGCATTTAACCTTTAATTAACATGTCTCTAACCTCCAACCCCGTAATATATTAATAAGTTTTTATTAGATATATTAAAAATATAATAAATGTA